AAGAATTGTTTGAATCGAGGGTTGATGCTGTGAGACTTATCCGATCTTATCCATTGTTCGATTTTTTTTTTTCGAATAAATCATGTCTAGGACAGTATTAAAGATCTCATCGAAAACTTACAGCAGCTTGCCAAACAAAGGCTAAGAGAAAAAAGAGAAGGGGTATTACTGGCATAAAATCTACGATTGGATTCAAAAAAGCGTAGGCCTCCGGCAATTTGGCTAAGAAAAAACTACTCGAATAAAGGGTGGAATGAAGACAGATACAGATCAAACTAAAGATATTAAGCATAACAAACATTTTTTTTTCTTGGAAATTGTATTTTGATTGAGTTATTGTTATTGATAATTGATATCCCTTAAAAATGAAAAAAAAAGAGTAAGGTATACCAAAAAATCCTTCTTTGAACTCAACCAATCAAAAATCCTTCAATTCTTACATTAAAAAAGAATAGAAGAAATCATACTTTTATACAATATCTTAATTGAATTATATGTAATGATCAATAAATTCAGTTTCATTGTATCTCTACACGTGTCAAAACCCTAGGAACAATAGAGTCCATAGATATTTTGGATTGGAATTGACGAATAACAAAAAACAATACTAGTGTTTATTAGTATTGAATAGAAATCGAAATGGGGCGTGGCCAAGTGGTAAGGCAATGGGTTTTGGTCCCGCTATTCGGAGGTTCGAATCCTTCCGTCCCAGGGAATACCTATTCTCTATATAGATAGAAATATCTATTATCAGAATAAAGAAAGGTTGTCTTTTTGAACTGTCTTCTTTACTCTTTAAGAGTCAAATATTGGATATTATGTGATTCTTGTTTCTGATTTTTAATGATTCTATTCTTCTTTAAATCCTATTTTTTCAAAATCCTATTTTTTCACAAATTAAATTCAAATAAGATAGATATAGATGGAACTGAATCGAGTTGTGATCTAGGAACATAGATTCGAAGAATTGGAAATAAAGAAAAAAGGGGATTGCAAAAGAAAGAGGTTGAATGCGCTTTTCATCGTATGCCCATCTCCTTATACTTTGAATATTGAATATTCATATTGAAGTTTAAGTTAGTTACTTCGAAAAGTCTTACGTGCCATATAATAAGAATTAATTAACAATGTAAGATATCAATTTCACTAGCTGTGCTTGTACAAATTGGATTAAGAAATAATCAATTACATACATATAACATATCTATTTTCTTTGAACCTCATTTTTAGGTATTTCATTTCGTATTTGATTTGGTTCTCATAAATAATTGTAAATATATGGAATAATATAGACAGGGGGTAATTCATACATTCTATATTCTATTCTCCTTACTTTAAATAAAAATTATTGAACGAACCCCCACCAGTCAAAGAAACTACGCGTAAAATGAGGAAATGCTTAATGTATTATTGTCGTTCTATTTCAGTGATAACGTTTTTTGGTTTTTTGAAAAAGATTTTTGATCCGTTCATTTGAAATATTCTATATTGAATATTCATAATTCATTCCACTGACAATTGTTCAGTCTATCTGATAGAGGGAATTCTTTTTTTTTTTATGATTTTCTTTTTCAGTATGAAATGAAAGAAAAAGAGCCTAAATCTTCCTTTACATCAACTTTTTTTTATCCACTCCACGAAAAAAAGAAATAAATTTCTTTTTCTATCTATCTATATTTTTTTAATCACTGAGATTTAGGTTTAATTCAAAGATAGATTATTTATGATGATAAATGTAATCTTTAGTAAAACTTTATTTATCAAATAGTGATATGATATCCGGGTAGGTTTTTTTTCAATTCAATAACTATTTGAATTTAATGATTTCTTATGAGTATTTAATATTCGAAGAAGTCTAAGATTGTTGAATATATCCTCTCAAGTTACTTGAAGATGCAATGTAGATTCAATACAAAGAGCTTTTTTCTTTCTAATATTTAGAAATTAATAATTAATAAATAAAAGAAAAATATTGCATGCATCCAATAAAAAGAAAATCGAGGGTGAAATTGAATTCTTTCTAAGACTTCTTTAGAATTTAGAAAGCAATGTAACGACCGAACAAATGACTATTCATGATTCCCTAATTGAATCAATTACATATCAGTTCCAAACTAGAGGAATGTTATGGTAAAACTTCGTTTGAAACGATGTGGTAGAAAGCAACGTGCGACTTGAAGGACATGATCAGTTGTGGATTCTTACACCCACCCTTTTGATTCTATAGGAATGAAGGTGCTCTTAGCTCGACATCCTTTGTTCTGTTCCACTAGAAACCTCATTGTTTCTTGGGTTGTAGTGTAAACAGTATGTGATGTAGCTCGAGTAGAAAGTATTGATTCATTTCTCAGGGCAAGGATCTAGGGTTAGTGCCAATTAATAAGTTGGAACAACTTCGTAAGTGTAGTCTATTTTCGATTTCTAAATCGAAAGGATCCAATTCGAGCAAGTTTCAAATCCAAAAAAGGAAAATTTGTTGGAATTAGTGAAACTCTTTTGATCCAAAGTGTATCGTGCGGGAATCAACCGTTTATGATTCTTTGATAGAAATAAATCAGAAAAAGGGGCATGTTGCTGCCATTTTGAAACGATTAAAAATCACCGAAGTAATGTCTAAACCCAATGATTCAAGGCAAAGAGAAAATATTTTGGAACAAGGAAATATCTTTTTTTTAATTGTCTCGACAACTAGATCAAGAATAAGGAGTCCAAATAGATTCTAAATGAGACAAAGAAAAAGGGGTTAGAGACCACTCAAAAAATCAAATGCCTAAGGGTTTTCTTTTGAGCTATTTCAGAGTTACTCAACTTGAGTTTTGAGAATACAAATTCTTTTTTTTTGATAAAGAAAAAAAAAAGTATTAAATAATCATAGTCTAATTTATTTGATTTAATGCTTTTATAGGTCTATTTGACATTAGAATTGTATACATAGACATATCTATATTCTAATTTCTCGAGCCGTACGAGGAGAAAACTTCGTATACGTTTCTAGGGGGGTTCTAGTTTATCTACGTCTATCCCAATGAGCCGTTTATCGAATCGTTGCAATTGATGTTCGATCCCGAAGAGAAGGAAGAGATCTTCGGAAAGTGGGTTTTTATGATCCGATAAATAATCAAACGTATTTAAATATTCCTGCTATTCTATATTTTCTTGAAAAAGGCGCTCAACCTACAGGAACTGTTTATGATATTTTAAAGAAGGCGGGGGTTTGTTTTTACAGAATTTCGTCTTAATTAAAGGAAAGTCAATTAATGAAATACAAAAGAAGAGGGTGTGGGTGATTCGTATATAGCTTTGTATAAGTATAAGTTTTTTTTTCTACTATACTTTCCCCACTCCCTTCCTCTTCTTTTGCTCTATTTATACTTTTTTTTTATTGTATTCTTTTCTAACTATTCATATTGACAACAGTGTATTGAACAAATATAATTCGATCGTGTAGAAAGGGATCTATTTATCTTTCTTATATTTTTCTTTCTTAGATTTCGTTTTTTTATTTTACTTCATTCACAATAAAAAAAAATATCTATATATATGGGTTCGTTCGATTTTTTGTGATACAAACAAGAAGTCTTTTTTGGTTAAAAAAAAATGGATAACATAAACGAGAAGAATCAATCTATCCAAATTGCTTTTTTTTATCTGAAGATTTGATTATTCTTATTGGATCTCTTTATTTTTATTTTTTAGATTCATAATTTTAGAATCAATTTGAATTTTATTGCTAGTTCGATGTTTTGATTGCGTCGTGCAATTGAATTTCTTTATTTTTTCCAATTGTATCTACATATCCTAATTTTTTTTCGGGTTGCTAACTCAACGGTAGAGTACTCGGCTTTTAAGTGCGGCTAGCATATTTTACACATTTATATGAAGTAACGGATTCGTTCATACCTTCGGTAGAGTTTGTAAGACCACGACTGATCCTGAAAGGAATGACTGGAAAAAACAGCATGTCGTATCAATAGAGAATTCTGAAAATATTTCATTCTTACTGGATCGGTTCAAAACCTTGTTTGAATTCTTAGTGAGAAAAAAATGAAATTAATTCAGAGTTGGGTCGAATGAATAAATGGATAGAGTCCTATGACCTCAATTAATTATAAAGAAAGAAAAAGCAACGAACTTCTGTTCATAATTTCTTAATTTGACTGATTACCCGATCTAATTACACGTTAAAAAGATATTAGTACCTGGTACGGGAAGGGCTTTTCCATGAATGGATGATTATCCATTTTTTAATGAGTCCTAACTATTAGCTATTTCCTATTCTAGGTTGTACATAAATGTGTAGAAGAAGCGGCATATTGATAAAGATATTTTTTTTTCCAAAATCAAAAGAGCGATTGGGTTGAAATGAAAAATAAAGGATTTCTAATCCATCTTCTTATCCTATAACGAATATAAACTAATTCGATTGAAAAAGAGAGGATAGAGAGTCCGTTAATGAGTCTACCTGTCTACGAGGTATTTATTCTTTTCTTACTAGAATACCTTGTTTTGACTGTATCGCACGATGTATCATTTGATAACCAAAAAATCCCCTACCTTTTTTTCTTTTTGGGGTCAAATCAAATTTCCAATGGAGGAATTTCAAGGATATTTCGAACTAGATAGATCTCGACAACATGACTTCCTATACCCACTTCTTTTTCGAGAGTATATTTATGCACTTGCTCATGATCATGGTTTAAATAGATCGATTTTGTTCAAAAATGCAGGTTATGACAAGAAATCTAGTTCAATAGTTGTGAAACGTTTAATTACTCGAATGTATCAACAGAATCCTTTGATTTTTTCAGCTAATGATTCTATCCAAAATCCATTTTTTGGGCACAACAAGAATTTGTATTCTCAAATTATCTCAGAGGGATTTGCAGTCATTGTGGAAATTCCATTTTCCCTACGATTAGTATCTTCCTTAGAAAGGAAAGAAATAGCAAAATCGCATAATTTACGATCAATTCATTCCATATTTCCTTTTTTAGAGGACA